ATCCCAGCTACTCTCTCCATAGCTTTGCCTTTTTCTCCTGGGGCTGGATGAAGGCAGCAGTCTTCCTCTGCTGGCCCCTGTGATGAGGGTAGAGGCAGAAGACTGGAATCACTTCCCCTGCACTCACCCTGGTGTGCTGGGAAAGAAAAGAGATTTGTCCCACATACACTAAAGACTCCTGGTGCCAGGCCCTTAGAAAGGATGGCCAAGATCTCCCCCAAGTACTGCACATTTCCTGGACCATTCTCTCCTCCCCACAACAGCGTCACTCCCTCCAGGGCTTGGAGAATTTGGAAGGCCGTGCAGTTTCACAGAATCATAGAGAAGCAGGCCTGGAAAGGATCTCCAGAGGTCATCTAGGCCAACTCCCTGCCTGAGGCAGGATCATCCCTATCCAAACCAGTCCCCCCCAGCTCCAAACAGTCTATACCAATCTGACCATGGGGTAACATTTCTTCCTGATCTAAAATATGGTAATTGGTCTGACCCTGATCAAGGTCCCTTGCCTCTAGCAAGGAACCTCCACGTTCAATCCCAGCAAGAGCATTGACACCCATGAACGATTCATGCGCCTGCCCCCAGCAGGGATTGCGGACCACCCGCAGACACCGACAGTGGCGAGCAGCACCTTTTTGTAGGGGGTGCACTGCCACGCTCAGAGGGTGCACATGCAGTGTAGCTCAACAGTGTAGCTAATCATCCTGGCTGCTAGCAGATATTGCCAGGGACTTTAGCCTGTCCTTCACTGGCTACAGAGCACTAGAGCCAGTGTCTGGAGCCCCAGAACACCTCCACTCCCTGCTGTTCATATCCTCAAGGGAACCCCAAGCTATAGCTGGTGCTCACAAATGCTTTGAAAGCTTAACAAAAAACAACCCAGTGACCCACGGGGCTTACAGGAATCCATTTTCCTCCAACTGTCCCCTTTCAGCAAAGGCTGGCATATTGCTGGGACCAGTAAAATCCCTTTAGGTCACTCTGCTGGCAGGGTGTTGCTTTTAAAACACAGTGCAGGGCATTATCAGTCACCCTAGCTTTCAGACAGAGTGCATCACGTTCAACATGGCAACAGCATCCGATAGCAAGGTCTTCTTAAATGAGACATAATGTCTTACAAAGGGAGCAAGACCCTGCATTGCCTATGCTCTCCAAGGGCCTGCAGGAGGGGTAATGGCAGAATCTGAACTTGGCCTTCTCAGGGCTGCAACAGTAGGTGGGAGAGAAACATCTGTGCTTTTCTATTAGGGCTTAAAATAACCGAGTGTGTAGGAGAATTCCTATTCAGCCTGCCCTCCCCCTCCCTACGCTCTGAGCTAATAATTCCCTGCTGAGGATGCTGTCCACCCAGGCACAGAGATGCCTGAAGGCAATGCACGTTTCTCTACAATTGGTCAGTTTCTTTTCTGTCCTTGGGTCATCAGTTGTGGTATGCAAGGCCCAACCTGAAATCGCTGAACTGACACAGAAGCACATGCACTGATTTCTGCAATAAGGAAACCTACAGGCTTTCCAAACAAAGCACAACAGCTAAAGAAAGGGGAAGAAATTTCTTTCTGCCCCACTTAATTTCAGGGCTCAACCTCCCCCCCGCCCCCAAAAGGCATCAGTGAAAAAAGCGTTTGAAGAGGCAGACTGCAGTGGAATCAAGACATTGTAGTTGGGGAGGGGAGGGGACGGAAGAAGAGCGTAAAGAGAGTTGAAATGCTGCCAGGCACTGCACATCTGCATTATCAGCACTGCACAGAGACCAGCAGCTCAGGTCTATTTATAAACCAGACATGGCATTGAACGGGCAGCTGTAGTTTGCAGCAAGAGACTAGGATTGCAGGCTGTCAGCTTTCCACCATACACTGTCTGGTCTAATTAAAAAAAGATGAGCAAGAACATGCACACTCATCCCTCTGTCCAGCTAGTCACAGAACCATGGACCCAAACACTCTGAAAACAGAATTTCACTGCAATTTCCACACAAAAGACTGGCTTCCTAGGCAATTGTGTCCTCATACAAACTTTCTGCTGTCTGAAGTACAGATGCAATTGATGGGCTATGGCTGTTACAACTCGCCAAACACAGCCCTAGGATATTTGCTGGTTTTACTTGCAGCCCAGTTGATGTGAGAGGATAGGACAGGTTCTATGATAAAGGAAGGCAGAGCCTTTGTATCAGTAATAGTTTATCTTCATCGTGCAAATTAAGAGAAGAAAATGCTTATGGGAATCACAACAGGCATTCTGAAATAGCCTCCAACACCAGGAAAAATTGAAGAAATAAATAAATAAATAAATAAAAAGTTATGACTGTACTCTTCCACGTAGGGAAGGGAATCAGTTCGACACAAAAAGCTTGGCTTGCTATTCATAGTTTCACAATTTAGTCTTCATTAACTGTTGATATGGAGATGGGGACCCATATTGCTTCTTCCCAGTCTCCCCCATCCCGCTAACACACACACACACACACTTTGCTCTGAAGACGCTTTCTGACAGACTCCAAGAGGCACAGGTAAGGCTAAAATGCAATACAGAGTCTGTTCCCTGCTCTTCAAATTACACTTCCTCCTGCTCCCATTTGGAACCCATTTTAATACTTCCTGTTCAGGACCCAAAGCAGTCTAAGTACCAGCCTACGTTTATACCACCAGTGCAAAGCCAGATGCTGAAGGCAGTATCCAAACCACAATTCAGGTTACTTGGAGGAGTACTGGCCTACAACTCACTGTAGTGAGGGTTTGAACAGTAACCCCTGCTCAGCTCAAGGCACGTGTTTATGTTCCATTAACTACGCACACTCTTCCTCCTGACACCCATCAGATGTAAACTGGCCACTTGAAAGTGTAGAGATATGACACAGAATTGATTGCCTAGCTGTACTTTCTGGTAGTCATTTGAATAAACGTGCACAAGCTGAGGCTCATTCTAGTGCTACAGGATTAACCATGGATACAAAAAGGGGTCCCATCAGTCTACAGAATCTCAGCCTTCAAAACCCAATGAGATGGCAGCCATAGTCAGACTCCAGAGCAGACATGAGCACTGCCCTCCCCTGCAGGAGGGCTGAGCACCAGTTTACCACTGTAAGCCCCCAAATGACATCATCCCACACTACTTACCAGTCTTGGTGGAGACCACACTCCTTGAATCCAGATCCAGTTTCTTGACCAGAGTATTTGGATCAATCTTCATCCCAGCAAAGATGTCAGAGGTCAGGAAAGCCCAGTCCTTAGCCAAACAAGCAGAATTAAAAAAAAGAAAGAAAGACAACCAGACATGTTAGTACTGATACCATTAATAAAGTAAACTGGCAGGCAGAGCCCTACTCTCTACAGTCACTTCCCAGTAACTCTTTATCCAGGTCTGGCATGTGACCCACAGCATGTATGAGGACAAGGCCAAGCAACTAGTCTTCAGCTCATCATTAAACAACTACTAAGCATGCATGGGACTAAGCATAGATACTGATTGCCACCAGCACCATGAGCTGGCCTGGGTATCCAAGCCCCATTAGCCTAGCCCAGATTTACAAGAGGTATTCAGACACTTAGGGGGACCTACACACATTAACAAGTGGATCAGACATCCAAGTCACTGTTAGTTAAGCAAGTCAGTTATCAAGTTCTCATTGCTGTAGGGAGTTAAGAGTTGAATAGCATTTAAAACAACAAATAAGCAGATTAAGTATCTATCTGGAACTTTGGCACCTATGTAGTTTTGTAAAACCAATCCCTGGACTACACAGTTTTATGCTAGCATACTTGGATTCGTTAGGAGGACTATTTATAAATCATTATAGGTACAGCACCCAGAAAGTTTACAATTATAGTGGTACAAATATGTCTTTATACTGAGATACCTTATCGCCCTTCTCTTGAGAACAGCTATGCCCATATAGTCACCTTTATACCAAGAGATCTGTGTCCATAGAGAAGACAGGGAAGTGGTACAGCTTCCGCTGCACCCATATAGATCAAGCAATCCAATTCATATGTTTAGACAAGGCCTAGATTTCTCTAAAATATAAAAAGGAATGGTTTGCCCTCATGTGGACAGCTGTGTGCAGTACTGCCCGCCCCCCTCAAAAAGGATATCCAATACTTTCCGAACAAATCTCAGCTACTGTATAATCTAATGATCCAAGAAGAAAACACTGTATTCATCCAGCATTAACAAGTGACAGTCCACACAGTAGGCCATCACTTAGCAAGGAAAGGAAGCACAAATATAGTTTTGCAGTTTGACTTGCTCATATTTAAAACTGCAATTGGTATTAAAACCTCCTGGCCAATCAGCAGCAAGTGTCGGGGCTGCCAAGGCCACTCAGCCAATCAACAGTGGGCAGCATACAGCAAAAAGAACAAGGTTAAAAAAAGAACTGCTGTGGAGTGCACTTCCACCACAATTGCAGTAGGTCCCTACCCATCTATAAGCATATCTATAGCTGAAGCTTCATACAAAAAGTGTGGTAGATGGCAACATCTGCAGAGATGCTACATTGTTATTCTGTGCTCAAGGTATTTTTGCCTCAGACACACAGCACAGCAAAGCTCTGAATTAACCACTCTGCATTCTGGGCAAATGTTGCATAGTGCCCTGCTCCCCCATAATCATTTGGGGATTTTTCCAAGCTGCATGTCGTGTTTCGTACTCCTAGATGGGAATGGAATTCTGCAACTTAGGGCTAAACTGAGCAGTTCCCAGGATCTCTGATGTCTAAGTCGCTATCCATCAGGTTTTGTTCCAGGGAATTTTTTTGTTCATTTGTGTTGGTGAGCCAGCACCTTTTTCAAAGCACTGTCAGCAGCATAGAGGAAACACTGGCAAGTGCTCCAATCCTCACCGTGACAAATAGCTAAACCCATGCAAGGACTCAGACTCATGGCAGTAGTTGCACCAGCAGAGGCAGCTGACACCAAGCAGGAATTTTTTCATCTTTTCCTAGAACAATTTCACTCTATTTGCTACTGCTTTTGGGCTCAGTCAACAAGCACTGGCTGATAGGACAAGAGAACATTACCAGCTGGGGTGACAGAACCTGATGATGTCAAGTCACTTGCAACTCACTGTGAGCTGTAGTAGCTCACACCTTATGCAAGAGCTCCCCTTGGCATGGAGCAGCATCTAGCCACTGCTATCTGCATGCTTGCTTCTCCCCCACAGTTGCTACTAGTCAGTATTTAATCAATTTGGCATTGGTAGATCAATTACTGGGACCATTTTAATGAAGCTGTGCACTGCTAGGAGGCAGGTGCAGTCAGACTGGTTCATAAGATCCTGCAATGAGCAGAAAGTTGTTCACGGATGCCCATTACACAGACTCCCAATTTGTGCTGGGGCCATCAGTGGAAGCCACATGCCTATTGTTCATTTCATGCACCGGGCTTCAAACTGAATGAACAGAAATGGCAGACAAGGTTCTTTCGGTAAGTCTGATATCTTTTATTAGACCAACTCAAATAGTTGGAAAAATTCTTCTTTGCAAGCTTTTGGATACAAATATCCTCCATCAGGCTGAGGAAGCAGCTGCAGTTGGTGTGTGCTCTTCCTGGATGGAATAAATTGTAAAGAAGCCAGAGGCTGGGCTGGTATGCATGCAAGACAGGCAGTCAGTGAAGGTGTAGATTGAGAAGTCAGTAAGTGAGAGAGAGGCTGGGGGCAGTGGGAGGTGGTAAGGGGAATGAAAATAACTGGTAAATAGTAGAAAGGTACCCAGGGAGTCAGATGTTAGGGAGGTTGTGCATCATATATCCAGTGTATATATTTTAGTCCATGATTTTTTGTATCCAGTAGGTTGATGAAATGAAGTTCATAGGCTCATCTGTGAAAGGTGTTTTGTAAATTCACAGCTAAACAGAAATGGGCATTTCTCCCTGGTACTGCAAGGCTTACTCAGTCACCACTGGAGGACCTCCAATATTCATACGGAAGAGTCTGGAAAGATCCATTTTTCCATACTGGAATCAGCCTGGTTCATAAAACATTTGCTCCCATGATTCCCACAGATCCTGCCAGCACTGTGACTTCTCCAGTTATTCTGGGACACTCAGCTTACCCTCTGCTTTCCTGGTGTACCAAACACTGATGACAGAAGGGACTGTTTGATGATACCCTGAGCAGCTGCAGAATGATGCTAGAGCATGCTCTCTGGAGACTGAACAAATACAAATGGAGAAACTGAGTACCTTGAGAGTAAGGGAGGGTGCCTGACAGGCAGATGGGAAGAGGAGCTGGCAGACTTGCTCACCATTCTGAACAGCTAGAGAGGAAGAGTCTACAAAACATTGCAGCAGCTCATCAACAGTCAGGGATACACACACTCCTACTCTCAGGCTAAGGGACACTTGTGAAAGACTTCTAGGCTTGTGACCTTGTGTAAGCCTTACACAAGCCTACATGCAATGGGACAACAATGAAGCATGTGGCATGACTGCTATATCAATCAGTAATGTGACAGGTGCATGAAATAGCAGGGAGTAATAACTGCAAGAACCACATGTTTTCATTAAAAATGATATATGTATATACATTTCCTAACTCTCAGGATTGTGAGGGGGAGGAGAGAAGGGGGAGTTTCAAAAACATGAACCCAAAAGGTTAAAAAACCAGGCAGCAAATAAAAAGAACACAAAATAACATTTTTTTTAAAACAAACATGTTTTCCTCAATCTCATAGAGGATTTTGAGCTACTGTCTTTACTCAAATATAATATGAGGTTTGTTTTCCTCCCCCCAGTCAGCTTGGATGGGAGGGCTCATCTGGTATTGACATATGAAATAGAGAGCAGGGCTGGCAGCTGCTGAGGCTCTGACTCTGCCCATGACCTGGAGCCCAGGATGGGGCCAGAGTCAGACCCACAGCACCCACATCCTCCCAGGTTCTGCCCACTCCCCCCACCTACCCTGTTGGTGTAAGGCATAGCTGGGCTCCAGCTGGAGTCTCTCCCCAGCATGGAAACTCCTCCACCTGATGGGTCCAGCAGCAGCAACAGTGCTGCAGGGCCAGGCAAGGGCTGAGCTTCCAGGTGCTGTGCTCTGGAGCAGCATCTGACAGCAAGGGTGGCAGGAAGGCTGCAGGGGGAAGAAGTAGGTGGGGCTGAGGGCAATGGGGGCACCTAATTCCCACCCCCTCACCAACCACAGCTTACTCTGCTGTAGCAGTGGAGGAGGGGGGGATTTCAAGACAACCTTCCAATACTTAGATTCTATACCTAGATAGTTATAAAAGATTTATAGAATTTTCTACATAATACATCTAATTATTGGGGGGGTTATCTTATATTACAGTAGGTATAGTATTACATGGAAGAGCCAACACTGCAGTTGTATCTCCACCCTTTTTCTTTTTTTACTGTCTTAATTCTTCCTATACAATTCTTCCAGCACTGTTCAGTCCCTATGCTGTACAGTGGAGACAAGGAGAAAGAAAAGTGAGCTGTACTGTATGATTTCACCTATACCAAAAAAATCAGTTTAACTGCAGGGTCAGGTCAGTTCAGGGCCTCAGTTAAAAGGGACACACAGACACACAAACAGACATGGACATGGACAAACACACTAGAATTCTGCATTTGGCTATTTTTTAAAGTCTCCGTATGGCAAATATTTAAAGTCCGGTGTATAAAGGGGGGCAGTAAGAAGATTACCAGATGTGTCCTGGAGGCGCCCCTGGCATTAATTATGCATTACACAATAAAATTACATTTGTTAAATGAAAAACAAACAAACAAACAGTCCTGACTCATTCAGGGACGAAAGTGTGGAAAAGAGATGACTGGAGGTTGAAAGATAACAGCAGGACACCTCTCCCTTCCTCCCAGCATACATGTTAAACTCACACAGTCTAGATCACATGGAAGTGGTTGGTTAATGAAGAAGGTGGATTTTTATTGCGCCTGTACTACTCAGCTATGCCAGGATAAAATCATAAAAAACATGAGAGCTAATACAGTAAGAGGAGAGCACATCACTGCAAGTGCACAGCACATTGATGACCAGGAAGGAAGGAGTGTTCAACAGTCAATCCTTGCATTTTAGAGGCCAGAATACCATGTCTACGAATAAACAAGAAAACTCCCCAAGTATACTGCTGCTTTGGGAACTGTATCACAACTTCCACATACTGAATGAAAACTAGAACACTGCCATTTCTTGGATGAATTTGAAGAAATGGTCTGTTTTCTGTAGACTAGAAAGCAGGGGGTCAGCACCATTTAAGTACAACAGGTACTGCTGCTTGTGAGCCGGCTGTGACCATGGGCTGCTGATCCTCTCTACAGTGCCCCAGCTCTCAGCTCTGTGCCAAAGGCTGCACTCTCACACTTGCACATGCCCCACCCCACTGCAGCCTCCGCTAAGCCTTACCACCAAGTGCAGCCAATTTCCATGGCCAATGGGGTAACAAGAAGCTGCTGTAGTGGAGCAATAGAGCAGCCCTCAGCCCAGAGCACACAAGGATAGCCACTGGCTGGATGCTGCAGAGGGAATCAGTGGCAGAAGAATGCCCAGAGCAGGGCAAGGAAGGCACCCCTGCTGCTGCAAATTGCTGCTTCTCCCCCTGCCATGAGTTGCATCCAGGCCTCAGACCACAGACTAACCATCTGCAGACTGGATCTGGCCAGTAGCCCAATCCTGGGTGCAAGTCAGGTGCTGCAGGGCCAGATCCAGCAATACAAAGTGGAGGGGGGGCATTACCCTAGTCCAGCTGCATGTGGGGAGAGGCATGGTTCAGCCCTGATCTGGCTGCACAGGGCTTGGGAAATTTGGTAGTAGGGGAGAGGTAGTGGTGTTAATTGCCACTTCTCCCTCACCATAAAATAATTCCCAACCTGTGGGGAGTTCTGTGGGCCAGATGCCATGGTTCCATGGGCCAGATCTGGCCCACAGGCCAGGCGTTGAACACCCTTGCCATAAACCAATACCCCTAAAATGCTTTTCCTCAAACAATCATGCATTCTGCCTTAGCAAGAATACCAGCTGTGATTACCTCTACTAGGAGGACAAAGTCAAGGGCACTGGATTTTGCCTATTATTCATGTGCACACACACATGCTGGGAAGACAAGTCTCTTTGGCAGGGCTCCAATGTCTCTTACAGGAGTGCGCTGAAGAATGCTAATGAGCAGAAAGTGATTCACAACACCTTTGGTGGTGCAGGATACCTGCAGCCTCCTCTCTGCAATCTACCAAGGCCCAGATTACACCTGCAATATTTTTCAGACGCTGGCATGGCTGCTTCTACATCTTCACCTGCTAAGGTTTACATACCACTTCAGCTAGAAAGTCTCTTCCAAACCTCAAGCCTACAGATTCTGATCACTTTCAGGCACAATCAGCAAGAAGAAAATTGTATATCTATATCTCTTTCCTTCTTGCCGATTGTCCAATGCATATATTTTACACACATAATATAATATTTAAAACAAACAGACCTGTTTGCACAGATGTTTCTACTACTCAGAAATCATTTATCCTGCGTGTCTGAAGAACATGCCCAGACTTATCTGCTCTTTTTCTATTTTAACTTTATTTATTGAGGTAAATTTCTAGTGTGCCTCACATTGATTTCCTGCAACTGGTTCAGAATTCTTCCATGTTACCCGTATAATGAACTATACCTTTATGCAGCTCTAGCATGACCCACCAGTAACTGTTTATGGTATGCAGAGGTTCACAGTACACAGTGCTGCTCATTTATAAGTCAGACTTTGAAAAAAGCAGACCTTTCTGATTCTGACTACCTAGCTCTGAGCAATTCCAGTACAATCTATAGGATTATTTAGCCTGGAGAAGAGAAGATGCAGGGGAAGCAGGGGGTGGGGGTGGGGTGTATAAGTCTTTAAATACCTGAAAGTTGATTACCCAGAGGATGAAGAGAACCTTTTCTCTGCTCCTAGTCCTGTCCCCTACAGCCACAATGGCTTCATGCTGCAGCAGAGGAAATTTAGGTAGGAGATTAGGAAGAACCTTCTGACTATGAGAGTGGTCAAGTAGAGTACAGAGGACACACAAGGGGTGGGCAATTATTTGGGCCCACAGACCACATAGGCAATTCTGGGGAGCTGCTGCAGGCCGGTCAGCACCCCCATCAACCCACAACAGCCCAGAGCCCATGCACCCTGCGGCTCCTCCCATCCCTGCCAACAGCGCACAGCCCCAGCCCCAGCCCCAACCTGCCCTACACCTGCTCCAGACCACACACCCATGCTGAGCAGCACTGGTAGCCAGGCAGAAGCTGGTGCTTCGTGCAGGGGAAAAAGTGGCCCCTCCCCCTCACTGCTGCTGTGCCCTTCTTGCTGCAGCTGCCTAGAGCCCATGGCCTGGAGCATGCAGCAACTCTCCACTGCCATTACTGCCACCTTCAGGCCACCCAGGAGGGCAGCAGTGGCAGTGCAGGGGAGCCACAGGGCAGCCCAGGCACGGGCTCCAAGAGGCTGCAGCAAGAAGGGTCTGGCAGCAGTGAAGAGGAGGGGCTGCTTTTGCCTTGCGCCAAACATCAGCTTCTGTTCAGCTGCCACTGCTGCTCAGTGTGGGTGGGCGAGTCTAAAGCAGGAGCTGGGCAGGCCGAGGTCAGAGCTGTGCACATGGGTTCCAGCTGGTCCAGACTGGTCTGTGCTGCTGGGCCAAGTCTGGAGTGGGTACAGGGCTGTGCATGTGGGTCCCTGACAGTACCATGGGGCTAGGGCCAAAGGCAGCAGCAGCTGGAAGGAGCCACTGCCACCTGGGCTGCCTAGAAAGGCAGTCCAACTATGGAGCTTCATGCCCAAGGGGGGCGGCAGGATGTGCCACAGGCTGGACAGTATCTGGGCCAGGTAGGATCAAGGGAGCCCGCTACAAGCCACACAAAGTCCCTCTGTGGGTGGATCTGGCCTGGGGGCTGTATTTTGCCCACCCAGGGATAGACAGAGGTATAATTGTATCAGTAACAAAGGATACAAATAGACATGTGATACAAGAGTAGCAAAGCTATTACAACATTCTCCATTCAGGGACAAAGTTAGTATGATTTAGCTACTTTGTATTACCACAGGATTATGCAAATAGCAGCCTATGCTCCCAGCCAACAGCTCTCCATTCCCTTTAAAGTTGTTAAAAGGTATGTTTGTCCATCCCTATAACAGACCAAAAGGATGACAAAAGACAGTATTAGCTCAAAGGTATTATTGATGCGGCAATGGACAACACTGTAGCAGAAGAAAGGACTGCCAGCCTGAAAGCTAACAGACATCCCATTTACTTTAAGCTGGATGCAGGTGCAGAACTCATTGCAGAACCAGAAACAGTGATATTAGCACAAAAAGAAAAGCTGCAGGCAGTTAAAAGTTAATGGATAAACTCCAGGCTTCACCAGCGACATTATTTCCACTAAAGGAACAAACGTAATAAACGTCTGGCTAAATTAACTGGAAAAAAGCAATTTGTAACAGTACCAAAAGAAAAAAAAGGTTGAAGCTAGTTTTAGGCTAAAAACATGTCAAGCCCTTGACCTCATCAATTGGATGTGCTTCCTGGAGGAATAGGGGACCCAAACTACTGAGAAAGGTGTTCAAGAAAGTCTTCCAGGGGCAGGGATGCTTTCAGTAGAGCACAGAATACAGCCGACAAAGGTCAATTATGCCATGATGCATACTACTAGGAAAGTGAGAAAAACACCTTGAAACAAAGGTGGAGGCTAAACGAGGAACTGGAACAGGATAGGTCCACTGGTAAAGGAATCACAGAGAACAGAAGAACAACAAAGAGTGTAGACTTACTGACTATTGTGGGAAAGATGAATACTTTACTTCGCAGAACCCACATTCATTTATACTTTGCTTATATGCAGAGTTTGACAAAGCTGAAAAGGGAACATTTTCTACATTTCCTGGGGGGAAAGTTTTGGAGAGATGATTGATGTCAAATATTTTTCAGTGACTGATGCACCACTAGTGGTTCTGGCCCCCAAGATTGTTTCTCTCTCAGTGCTTTTCTCAGAAATGTAAAACTCTTGAGTGATGGGCTTATAATCCAAGAAGGTGACTGCAACAGCCATTTGTGATATACAGTATACTCTGTTTAAAAGCCTAGCACTGGGACTGAAAAAAATGCCATGGGCTTGCCCCATAAAGATGCAAACAATGCTTACTAAATGCACAGCACCATCAGCACTCTAGCACTATCTTACCCTGAAAACAGCCAAGCCCCAAGTTTGGAATAATCTGTTTCAAAACTGACTACTGGAAGCCTTGGAAATGAGGGGAGCTAACCAGTTTCAGGGATGCTGGTACCATGGCAAAGAGGAGGCCACCTGTACTCAACAAGATGTGTTCAGGCACTGGCACTGACAATACAGTAGCAGCCCTGAATCTGAGTAGCTTCCCTCACAGTCAGGGTTGCTAATGGCAGGCCTTTGGCAGCTGTCAGAAACAGTGAAGGACTTTGTCAGGAAGGCAAATGCACATTACTATTACATTTAAAAAATCCATGGGACTACCGTATAAGTCGGATTCAACATTTAATATTTATCTTAATGAATGCCTGATCATTTATCTCCTGGGTAACTTTCAGCAGTCTCCTGGAGATTTATATCCAATTCCTGGTGCCTCCAGAGCAACTCTGGAGGGTTGGTGCGGGTGAATAGGAAAGCACACAGGGGGTTGACCTAGATGAGCTCTGCGGGTCCCTTCCAGTCCAGCTTCTCTCTGATTTTGAGACGCCGCTTCCCGGGCTCTGCCCCAGGCGGCGGTAGTGCCCTGCTCTGCCCCAGTCACCCTGGGGGAAATGTACAGGGCTGCGCTTGTCCGGCTCTCAGCTCCCCGGACTCCTGAGTTCATCTCCCCCACAGCTGGCCCATGGCAGGGCAGCCGTGATATGACTTTCCAGGGCCACAGCCCTGCGCACTGCCCTCCCCACCGAGTGACGTGGTGCAGCCCATTTTGCCTTCCCCTCAGACATGCGGCGTGGTACAGGCCGCCGGGCTCCACACGCCCCTCGATGCACGATGGTACCTCCCACCAGGCCCTGCCTGCCCACCCCCCCTGCGGAATGGTACCACCCGGCCCGCGCTCCTCGCTTACCTTTCCGGGCGGCGCGCTCCAGCCGCCGGCCTCGCTCACTGCGTCTTGGCCCATGGGCTCCGGGCCCCTTGGGGCTGCCTGGTGCAACCGCGGCCGTCTCACTTTCCCCACCATGGCCGGGCCGGGCCAGAGCCTGCAGTATCTGGGCGGGGGGAGAGGAGGAGCGTATGTGCCTGTGCGTGTCAGCAATTAAACCTCCGCCCCGGGAACACGGCGGCGCTACGGGGTCCCCCCGCACGAAGGGGCCGCACGCACCAGCCGGGTCCGAGAGCAGTGATGGTGCAGGGCAGAAGTGCCTGGAGGGGCCCAGCAGGGGTAGGGTGCTGCAGCCATCAGTGCTGCTGAGAGTGAAATGCCTCCAGGGGTGTGCGCTGAGGGGGGCTGTACCCATGGGCAGAGAGTCCCACCCAGGTGTCGCAGTCCCCGGGGTGCCTCGTGATCCGCTGAAAGGAGCCCTGGGGCACCGCACAGTGTTTGCACCATTAGGGGTGCAGACCTGAGTTCCCAAGATCAACCAAGTGGTTTGAAATAGAAATTGACCCAGGTGCCCCGGTGCCCCAGGGTGGTCAGAAACACTCTGACAGGTGGTGGCCTTTCTGAGCTCTTGAAACCAGAGGGATGGCTCTGTTCCCTTCCTGCACTCTGCAGTGGAGTGAAAACAGAGAGCCGGCCTTTTCCAAAGGGCGCCTCAAGGCTATTGAGGGGTGCTGTGAGTCTGTCCTGGGTGCCTTGAGTCTAGAAGGGATAAGTATCACTGCCCTAAAATTAAATTTCTTATTTGCTGTAAAGAAGAGGGTTCCTAGGACCCTGTGCTTAGAGGAAAACATGACAGCAAATTAAATCCATATATGTGCTGACACCTGAGAGAGCAATGCTGAAAAAGGGAAATAGAGAAATTAGGCAAAATATGATTATTGCAAGCAAAGGGAAAGCTGCATTTCTGTGGTTTTCATTTGTTTGTTTTTTTAATAAGGGAGTGGGGAAAAATTGTTACTTCCTGCACTCTAGGGAATTAAGAAAGCAGAAACACATTAAGTCAAAACATGTTTGTTATTCTTGGCATGTCATGTCTCCCACGGAATTTGCTAGGCAGTGTATATATTTTATAGACAGAAAATGGAATATGCAGCAAAATCTGAAATAGATGTGCTAGAGTGCCTTGCAGGAGATCTGCATTTCTTTCCAAGTTAAATCTTCATTGAGGAGTTATTACACAATTTTCTTCCTTCCACCCACCCCAATAAAGGGGGGCACTATGCTTTAGTTATTGATATATGAGCATGAGATAATACTACAGTCTAAGCACATACTCCAGTTTGTAATGACCTGCTTTTCAGGCACTGATAGAGACCACTGATGAAAGGCATAAATATTCAGTCCTATTTATCTGTGGCTATATGAGAGCATGAAATATAAAACCACTTACTTTCCCCTGCACCAGTGCAATCTCTTCAAGCCCAATCCTTCTGCTCTCCTACTGGTTCTTCTGCACCAGACACATTTTCATCTGTTCCCAGTTTTCACTGCATGACTGAACAGACCTATATGTGGTAGCGGACTAGGCTTCTCTCAGCTGGGGCTGCATGAATTCAGCCATTCCAGCAGGATGACCAGGCAACCCAATCACCTAATAAATACGAGACAGAATCAGTGAGCCCCTTAGTCCAGGAAGTCTGATGCTTTCTGGGGGCCCGCATCTGGGACATTGCGGAGAAGATCCCAAAGCTCCTCCAGCCCACAGACCACTGTCCTATGCTCCTTATTCATGTGGGCTCCAATACATGGCTCAGAGCGCTCCCAGCCAGGTCATGAGGTGCTACAGGGATTTGGGAGCGGGGCTAAAGGGTCTGGGGGCACAGGTGGTGTTCTCGTTGATCCTCCCAGTCTCGGGCTATGGGCTGAGGAAGGAGAGGAGGATCCACGTAGTCAACCAAAGACTGCGACGCTGGTGTCATCGGGAAGGCTTTGGCTTCCATGACCACAGCCTGCTCTTTGGCAAGAGAGGCAGTGGGCTGCTGGGAAGAGATGGTCTTCACCTCTCCCCTGGGGAGGAGGCTCTTCTCAGCTAGACTAGATGACCTGCTCCACTGGGCTTTAAACTAAGCTCATTGGGGGACGGGGGGACTACCACCACTGCTGGCCCCCTGAGCAACCCTTGCAAAGCCAGCGGGCCAAGGCACTTAAGGGAGCCCACTCTTGGCCCAGCCCTGGTACAACCTGTGGGCAAGGCAAGAGCCCGCAAGGGGACACTTGCCTGCCTGTACACAAATGCCAGGAGCTTGGGGAACAAGCAGGAGGAGCTTGTCCTCCTGCTCAATGCAAATAATTATGATGTCATAGGGATAACGGAGACCTGGTGGGACTCCACCCATGACTGGACCTCGGGTATAGATGGCTATACCCTGTACAGGAGAGATCATGTAGATAAAAGGGGCAGGGGTGTAGCTCTCTACGTTAAGGAAAGCTACATGTCCCTGCAAGCGGATATTGGCGACCAGGGTGGATGACTGGAGACCCTCTGGGTTAAAATCCATGGGGAACACGGCACAGGGGACACAACGGTGGGAGTCTACTGCAGACCTCCCACCCAAAGT